ATGACACAAGTGCTGTTGATTATAATACAACTATTTACATGGATTATAGGGCGGGGATTAGCCTAATTCTTAACTTGTGTTATTGGAAGCCAGATTATATACATTCATGCTGACTTAGTCAGAGAAATGTTTGTGGTCAAAATCATTAATACAGAGACAGAAGTTTTGATTGTAAAATCATCAATTTTATAAGGTATTTATGGTCCATTCATCAGTTCTTAGAAATTTTTCATGGTAAAACATTAAAACAATCATTTACAAAAGGCCCTTATGGTCAAATCATCATTTTCAAATCATCATTTAAAAGAAGTTCTTGTGGTCAAATCATTTTTCATATGTTGTTGTCATGGTCAAATCATCATTTCAAAGAGGTTCTTTTGGTCAAATTATCATTCCCATGGTCAATTTTTGCATTTCAAAGACATTCTAATGGTCAAATCATCATATCCAAGAGGTTCTCCTGGGCAAATCATCATTTCCGAAAGGTTTTTGTTGTTGTTTTTGAATCATCATTATCAAATCTTTTTTGTGGTCAAAAAGTCATTAAGAATAGGTTTTCATAGTCAAACCATCATTTACAAGACAATTCTTATGGCCAAATCATTCTTTCCAAGAGGATCTTATGGTCAAATCATCATTTAAATATACTGGTAGGACAATACCACAAACCATGCAGTTCTTAAGGTTACTGAAACCAAATTTGAAATCTACATTTAGACGGCCAGGCATGAAATATGCTAAATCAGCATGTTTTTAAAGGTCAACTAATTAATTAATTTGTCAGTTATTTTCATCAAAGGAATGCACAGATGAAGAGAGTTACAATATAAAAACAATTCCAATACTATCACAATATTTGTCATACTCATACAGGATTTGTTGGAATTAACTTAATCCTCAAATTCATAAATTAATCTTAATTTGTTTGTACTACGACTTGTGTACCTCATCTATCAGACATTACAGAAGATTTCATTGGCCGGTGGATGTCCTGAGATTAATTGTAATTGCAGATTGTGTCCATAAAGCAACTGTAATGAATTATTGATTAGATAAGCTTAGGGAAAATAATTGTAGGGGATATAAAAAACACATTCAAAGTGGATAATAACTAAATCTTTGAAATCTATCAGTTGATATATTCTTAACAGGGTATTATATACTGTAATCCCTACAAATTTGGTTTTCATTGCAAAAAATGTGTTTAAACGTTTATTGGTTAAAAAAAAAAATATTAAACAGACTTTTGTTTCATCATTCTAAGAAGACTAGATCCTTACGGCTTATCAAGTGTCCAAAACAGTCTTAAAAGTGACGTAAATTTTAAAGTAAAATCATCTGTGATATTGTTTAAACAAAGTGCCATTATAATGTCTCTTAGGATGCTGAAATATTCAACTTTGCTGTGTTTCATAGCAATGCCTAAAGTCGTAGTCTTAAGCCCAAACCTGGGACAAATATTCGAGTTGGCTGTGTTTCATGGCTTGTCTTAAGTCTAAGATTCAAGTCTTTAACTTAAGACCAAAACTCAGACAATTTTTTGCATTTCAAAGAAAACGTCTTAATTATGTTACTCCTTTTTCATGACTAGCAATTCAGATGAGCAATAACACATTACAAATAAAAGGGTTTGTCATTGTATTTCTTAACTTTTCTTAGGAAACTGAATTTAATAACAAACTACAGTGTTTGATTCTAGGTTACAACAACATTTATTGAAATGGTCCTATAGGACTTGAGACTTTCTATGAAATGCAGACCTTATTTCAATGTCCATGTTCAGAATATGAAGAAGGTGTTTGTTTACCAACATTGTGTAATCTTACACTAACTGGTATGAAATGTTATCCTGAAAGAAGTAGAAAAAATACTCAATTTGCTCCATTCTTTATATTTGTAACACTAGCTTGTCATGGAAAATAATCGGTGTGTAGTTTATTAAAGTATGTCAGAAATTTTTTAATAAATGTTAAATGTTTATATCGGAAGATCTTTCAATAGCAAGATGATCTACTTAGATAACATTACATGAGAATCAAATTCTGCATAAATTAATCTATTTTATAATGAAGTGTATTAATTACTGGCCACGCAGGAAGTACAAAAAAACAGCTGACATTTGCATGTTTTAAAGTCTTTGTAAATTTTTGTGTGTTTGATATCTTTGTGTTTTCTTAAACAACCAGCGTTGTGATGAATATTTTTACACCCTATTATACTTCCTTTGAATAATATAAAATAGAGAAAAAGAAAATTCCCTAATAAATACCCAAAACAACAAAATTGAAAATGTTGCAGACTAGTTTAGTTTGATTGAGTCTGTTAATGGATGGTACTGGAAAGTGCAAGTTACCTTCAAGGCCTCCTAGAGGCTTAAGCAGAATTCAACATTCAAACATGACAACTGTGAGATTTTGAATTTAAAAACATCCACAGATGTGTTCATGTAATAAAAGATCTTCAATATTTGTATATCTATTTGTATATTTGTACATGCCTTTCTGTTGTTACACATGTGCACAGTTTCAAGGCCTGTTTATGTTATTTTAAGTGTGTGTTTTTTGTTTATTTGGCTTGCAGTTGGTCTAGGGCATGTTCCACAAAGGTTAAACACTGTTTCAGTTCCAGTGCATATAAGAATGTTAATTACCATGACTGATTTAATTATTATTTCTTATGTTTTTATTTGCATGATTATTTGTTACAAGAGTTAAGCGATGTCATAATCCCCGGAAGTATGCAATACCCTTCTGCCATTTGAAACTTAGCGCATGAGACCGTTCATTACGGTCTATGCAGATGTCATATGATATAAAATTTTAGTGATTCCAGTATTAATCAATTTCCAAACCTTTGATTGTTTTAAAGCCTTTGACTCCAGCAATTTCTAAAAATTGAAAATGTTGCTTTTACAGTCTTCATGAATACGACCATGGCAGCTGTCAGGAAGCTATATTTTATGCTGATTAAAATGGTATAAAAATTTCTTGTATTGATTAATAAAATGATATAGAATTTCTTGTATTGATGATGAAGATATGAAATTTCTCGTATTGATGATGAAGATAAAAAATTTCTCATATTGATAATGAAAACGATATAAAAATCTCTTGTTTTGATTTGATTCTGATAAAATTAATGTTTTCTTGATGAAAAAAGTTCTGATCATTCTCACCCACACTGTTTTAAACAAAGAGTAAATGTTAATTACCGATGATTATAAAATCACAATAAATGTCTTACAATAATGACAAACATTAATAGAATGTTTAATCAAATTTGATTTATGTATGTTACATGTATAATATTAGTGATGTATTACTTTGTGGTAGACCTAATTTATAATGTTAATTAAGGAGTGATTGGCTTCCATCTTTTGTTAATTTTTTTAATGCACAATAATTTGTACATATGTTAAGTATGCTACATTGATTTACATTTATATGTCATGGCTGTCACTGACAACACAATATTATTGGTTTTTTATTGGGCTACCCTGATTGGCTTCAGATTTTATTTTTTAGATCCGTATAAATGCTCAGCTGTCACTTTTGCTTTTGATTCTGCCATGTAAAGCTGTCTAATAAGGCAGCTAATAGAAGGTTGGTGGTTTTACTCTGATGCTGACTAAAAGACATCTGAGATTTTTGTCCAGCAGACTCAGATAAATGGTAAATGTTGACCAATAGTGTCGTTAAGATTTGGAAAATCCACTTTCCATCTCTTAAATTTAAGATCGAATAACTAAAAAAATTAATGCATGTAGATACTATCTTTAAACTGTATTGTATAAACAGCAATGGCAGATCATTTATATGATGATTTTGATTTTTTATTTTGGGGGGGGGGGGGGGGGGGAAGGGGTCTCAAAATCAAAACCTGTTTTAATCATACTCATTCTGCTTTACCTATTGAAACATTTGACTTCATTCGATACATTTTACTTTATTCAGTATCTAAAACGAGAGATTTCAGTCGCAAACATAAGATCTTTGGCTACTTTTTCATTATCTATCTATTTAGTGAGTTAGGTTATGCTTATTATGTTATAAAAACGCCATTTTGTTGCATATGAAATGTTAAACAGTTTTATCAGTTTGTTAATTCTTATACATTTACAATAATTTTGCACAAAGTCAGTCTCTTGTAATGCATACAGGTTGACTGAAAGATTTGTGCTGAATCAGCTGAATTCTGTCCAGTAATTATACACTCATTTGAAATCTTTTACGTTGTAAATTTTGCACAGTATGTAACATGGAAATATAGATTTATAAGGAAAAATGCTGCAAGTGAATCAGAATGAGTATAAAAGTGATACACGGTATTTAATTCCTTACTGTAGATTTGTAATAGTTATATAATTGTATTTGGGACGGGCATTCAAATATTCAACATCAGGCTGACAGTAAATGACTCGAAAGAATTTCCCTATATTTTATGTATTCCATCGTTGCTTTTTGAAGACTTTGATGAATAGCGTTTTATAAAGTAATAAATTCGCTCTACGTGAGGTACCAAAATTACCTCATTTGATTTATGACATCAGGTTATATATATACATATAAATAAGAAACTGCTGCCAGAAAATTGAATTAAAAAGTTATATAAAACTGCTTAGTTCTTGAAGGATAAAAGTTGCTGTCGTGCGCACATTCTCTGTGTGTTCGGAGGGTTTGAGATGGCAACGTCTCGGTCGTAACGAGTCATTTTGATCGGTCTTTAATCGTTTAAAGTAACGTCCTGGTATTTCGGCCTGTAATGTTGATCATTATCGGACTGTGACGATTGACAGCAACATTCTCGGTGTGATCATAAACGTGTTATTGGTTCAATGTATTGTGGTTGGATGTGCGTGGATAGCTTCTTTTCAGGTTTTGGTAATGGATATAATATAGTTGATTTCATTTGAGTATTTCAGAGGATTGTAGTAGTAGATCAGTGATAAAAATAATGAAATACCAGTATATGTAGTCAATATAGGTAGTAAAATTTTAAATTACACAAGTGACTCATTTTCTACTAATATTGAATGGTAGATTTACTTTACCTATATGCACACGGCTTCTTCTCGATAATAATGGAATTACTTTAGCGTAACTAAATATACTCTTGTAGGTAAACATGACATTACAGCCAGACGTGGTTTAATTTTCATACTATTGAAGACCGATTTGAATAGCTTTAACAACTTTTGAAATGTGATTCATATAGTGGGAGAGGTTTTTATATGGACTTTTTTTTCCTTGCTTTGTTGTTTAAACATTGTTTTTTAAAAAAGAAAGTGAAATGTAGTTGACATGGATATAAATGGATTTTAATTCTTGTGGATGAAATCTAAAGGGTTGAAATTTTAGGTAATATTTACATTGTTGTATGTTGACTCGATTTGATATAATTTTTGGGTTTTTTACTTCTTTGAAATTTACAATAAAACAATAAAAGTGGAACAAACAATCAACACAGGATAAGTTTTAAAGTTTATTTAATGATGCTAACCGACGTTTCGACTCTCACGAGTCTTCATCAGGGTTATAAAATATCAGAATAATAGAAAAACCATTGTCTAACGTACAAAAATCGGGTATACTTTTACGTCACGTGATTTGTTCTAAAAATAGTTTAAATTATGTCATTTTGGGTTTACCCCATAATCTATATTTAGCTGTATGCTTTTTAAGAAAAAATACCGTAAATGGAATAAATGTTTATGTTAACGTCATTCAGTGTTTCTTTTTCATCCTGGCAATTGGTTGATGTGCTTGTGTGGCTGCTGCACGGCGACGGATTGTTACTTCTAAAGGGTGACAGTTGAAGTGGGGATAATTCCGGATCTATTATCATTTCTTTTAAAATTTCGTCCGTTGTTGATTTTGGTGTATTCTGTAGCCATGATTTTACGCCGGGTATTATACGGAATTTTGGTATTGTGGTTGCTTCAAAAGGTTTTTTCCAAGGTTTGATAGGTTTTATTTCAATGTTGTCGTGTTTTTTTCTCTAATTTGGTAAGGTATCGTTTTAGTGGTTGTTTGTGTTCGTATTACTGTGTTTCTGGAGGTGTTCACGTCGGCTAAAAGAGTTGTTGCAGATGTAGCATATAAATCGTAATTTCGTGTCTTGGTGAATTTTAAAGTGTCGGTTGAAGTTACTTTTGATCCTTTCAGAAATTTGTTGCAGGTTTTACATTGTCGTAGTTTTTTGGATATTTCAATGAAGTGTTCGTTGTTCGCTGTTAACTGTTGTTTCTGTAAATTACTTTGGATTTCCATTATTACTGTATTAAGTTGAGTTCTGGATGGTGATCGTGTTTTAAATATTGATATAAGTGTTTCTTCAGTTCTGAGGCGGATGTTGACGTTCTTAGGTGTTGATAATAACATAGTTACGTCGACGTCATTAGCGTTGTGTTCGTGTGTTGTGTAATGGCGGGAAACGGGTTTATAATTGTTGGCATTTTTTATGTCTGCGAAATGGCCATATAGACGTTCTCTTATAGTATTGCCGGTTGTCCTACATATTGTATTCCACATTTGTTGCATGTTATTAAATAGATTAAACTGGATGAATTACAGTCATATGTGCCTTTGATATGAAAGTATTTTCCTGTTGAATGAATTTTAACATATGATTTAACTGCTGATATGTTTGCATGCGATACAATTTCTTTTACATGGGTGTGATCCTTGTGGTTTCATCTGGGGATTGATGTCTGATTTTGTGAGTGTGTTTCTTAGGCATGCTGGTTTTCGAAATACTGTACATATTTTGTGTTTATTAAACATTGTTAAAGTGGGGTCGTTTTCCAGGAGGTGGGTGTATTTAGAGATGATATTATTTGTTCTTAGAATAAGCGGGTTATGAGTAATTATAAGCGGTATAATTTCCTTTTGTGCTTTAGTATCGACATTGGTATCAAGATTGGTAATTTTGGCTTTTTTGATGGCTTCGTATATTAATTTTCTGGGATAACCGCGTGCAATAAGGTTTTCCGTAAGTTGTTTTGTGCATATTTCAAATTGTTCGTCAGTGCTGCATATTCTCCTTATTCTGACGGCTTGGCTTATGGGATACTTGCTTTTTGGTGACGTGGATGGAATGAGCTATAGTGTAAATACATATGTGCAATCCGTTGGTTTTGTGTATAGTGTGGTTGATAATTTTCCTTTTAAGTCTTTGTTGACAGTAACATCCAAGAAGTTTGCTGATGATTGGTTTATGTCTACCGTAAACTTGATCGTTGTGTGGAAACTATTTAAGGCCGTAGTGAAGGAATTCAAATCCTCTCTCGAGTGTGGCCAAACCATAAATATATCGTCAATATATCTCCACCCATACCAGTGGAGATATCGGGTATTTAGCTAGGAACTCTTGTTCTATCTTATCCATAAAAAATTATCGCATAGCTAGGTGCGCATTTGGTACCCATCGTGGTTCCGGCAATTGTTCATAAAATGTATCATTGAATCTGAAACATGTTTCTCTTGAGTATGAAGTAAAGTATTCTTAGAAGGATCCAGGTTTTGGGTTCTTGTTCAGATCTTTGTTGTAGTGCATATTTGGCTGCTAAAATGCCTTCTTTGTGTGGAATATTAGTGTAAAGTGCTGTCACATCTATTGTGACTAAGAATGCGTCTTTAGGTACGTTGCTTAATTCGTGTATTTTTTCTAGGAAATGACGGGTATCTTTAATATATGAGGGGACTTTACGTGCTAATGGTTGTAAATAGTGATCTACAAATTCAGATAATTTTTCTGTAGGACTTCCACAAGCTGAGACGATGGGGCGTCCGGGGTTATTAGGCTTATGAATTTTAGGTAATAAATAGAAGATGGGTGTCCTGCAATTTTTCGCAGTAAGGTAGCTGATGTGTTGTTGTGACATAAGGGAGTGTTTCTTCAGATATGTTAAAAAATTATTGATCTCTCTGGTGGATTTGTTTGTAAGATCGTAGGGTGTGGTCCTGTATGTGTTTTTTCGTTGAGTTGTCTTAAACCTTCGGCAATGTAATCAGATTTATTTAAAATGACTATCGCTCCTCCTTTGTCGGCTTGTTTTATAATGATATCCTTATTTTGTTGAAGTTTTGTTATTGCTAGGTACTCATCGGGTGTAATATTATAATTTGTATTCGGTGACTGTTTAATTGTAAGAATGTCATGATGGACGATTGACAGAAATGCATCGAGGTTCATTGATTTGCCTGCAGGTGGTTTCCATCCTGAGCTTTGTGTGAACGGGTCAGGATTGTTATATGTGGTATCTGTAAAATAGTGTTTAAGTCTCATTCTTCTGTCGAAAAGTAGTAAGTCTCGTTGTAATTCTATTTTGTCTGTTTTTCTTGGGGTGGGGCAGAATGACAATCCTCTACAAAGAATCATTTTTTCGGGTGTGGAGAGATTGTAGTTTGATAAATTTATGACAAATTTATGATAGTTACGGAGGAGAAGATTTCGTTCATGTAATTGTTTTGTTCTGAATCTTCTGTTGGCATATTTTTTCAGTTTCTTTGGTTGGGATGATCACTGCGCGGGTGTTTTGTTTAGAGGATTTTTCGGGATCTTGGGTTGATTTTTTGTTACTGAGATCTCTTCTGACGATAGTACAATTTTTGATATGATGTCAGCAATTAGGTCGACTTCGTCAGTTGAAGTGGTGTCTTTTAGATGTTTCTCTACCTCCCTAATTTCTTCTACCAGTTGTGATTTCCTTGTGTTCCAATATTCTAATAATATTTTTGGTGAGTTGTAGTCCAAAGTTTATGTGGGGCTTCTTCCCATTTAATTTGTAGGACTGAATTAATTACTGGGACCTGTGGGGGTTAAATTAACCCGTAAAGATCTTGGTGTTGATTTATTAAATAACACATTTCTCTAAATATTGGACGTGGTGTTCTGTGCGTGTAAGTTGTATATTTAATTTCTTTAAAACTTTAAAACGAGAAAGATTTTCTTGGCTGATGCGGCGGGATGAAAAATCGTTGTCGTCTGTCTTTCGTTTTTTATTAGCCTGTACCGGAACCGTTTGTTACTGATGCTGACTGTGTAGTTACCGATTCCTCGTAAAGCTCTGATTCAGACATCTAATTATGTGTTCGTTGCGTGGCTCCTTCTTCAAAGGTATCGTCAGTGCAAAGTACGATGGATCCAATAGATGGATACCGGAGGTAAGATAACAAATCTCGAATAACCTCCCACACCGTGTGTTGATCTGTTTGACGAACCCGTGAAGATTGGATCCCTAACGGGATGCTTGTTCCACTACCGTAAAATACAATAAAACAATAAAAGTGGAACAAACAATCAACACAGGATAAGTTTTAAAGTTTATTTAATGATGCTAACCGACGTTGAGTTTCTTTGAAATTTAGTTATTAAAAGAACAAAAATTTATAATCAGAATAGATTGGTATTGCTTGCACATAAGTTAAGATTTTAATTAGTTTAATTCAATGTTATTTAATTATGGCTGATAACAGCAAAGAACTTTAAGAAATTAGTGCTGTTTTTTGTTATTTAATAAAATTGTTGGATTTTTTTTTATTTAGATTAAAAATATCTAAAAAGATATGTATTCAAATTCACACATCTAATTATAGTTTTGTAACAGAGAATTAATTCAGGTTTGTTATTTGAATAGGCAAAAGGGAAGTGAATATTGAATATAATAAACATTGTATATTTCATATATGTAAATAATTATCCAATCCATGTAGTTTTCTTTTATTCCTATTCAAACATTCTTGGTGTGAAGCTACCCAATTCTTTTATATCTGACTTAAGTATAAATGTGCATTATAATATGCAGCTAAAACATGGGCGTACATGGTTAAAATTGTTCCCGTCTTGATATCAGAGAAGATCAAATTTCATACGATTTAAATTCAAAAGTAATTTAAAAAGTCGATACATGCCATTGCTTTCATCAAAGAAATTAAAAAGAATATTTGAAACTAACTTTTTAGTTTAACTTTTTATAGAAATGGAAATAATATGTGAAAATAGAATTCCTTCAAATGAATGTCGGAAAGACTTTTTTGTTAAAATTTATTAGTTAATGCACTTGCAAAGTTCAGTAAGTGTCAATTTTTCAAAATATTCATTCTATAGAGTATTCATTGACTTACAGTGTATTGACAGGACATAACAATTTGTTCATTGATTTGATGATAATAACTTAGAGTTGTATTTAATGAATGATGTTTTTGATATATTGAAAAAAAGAAGAGACAAATTTAAAATTGTTAAATACGAGTATATTGAGGAAGGATTTTAGTGTATATATATCACAATATTAACAGAATCTATAATTGGGTTAGATAGTGGATTGAGAAATCCCAAATCAGAACCCCTAGGTTCCAACAGGAACATTGATCTTGGCAGAGATATTGTTGATACACCTCCATGTGGTAAAAGTATGATCAGTGGTCAAATAAATGCCATTGCACATTTCTGGACACTAGTTACTGCATGGAAATCTCCAAGAATTTAGTTTCTCAGTACTTTTTCATTAAAGAAGCATAAATGAGACAGTTTTTAAAACAAAATCTGTGATACAAATTAAAATTGAACAGGCCATAAACATGTAAGTAAAAGTATATAATTATATTAGTTTTTATGATACTGCATGTTTATGTAACGATGCGTTTCATTGGCTAATTGTGATGTTTATATAGTTTTATATACACAGCTGCTGTCAATTTATGATGAAATCTCACTTTATGTCTAAAAAGGAAGTTTGCAAATTATAAATTCGTTATAAATATTACTGAGAATCTTTACAGGTTATATGACCATATAAGGTTATATGACCATACATAAATGGTTGTTTGCAATATAACCAGAACTGATATTCCGAAACAACCATTTATATTAGGGCCATATAACCATCAAAAATCTTTATAACTAATAGTATTATAACAAAGGCTACTAAGTTTGACATGTCACTTTGAAAATGGATACTAGTGGTGGTAAAATTGTAATTTAAAACTTCAAAGGGTCACCTTTGTTTTATATGTTAAGATGTAGACAGGAAATATATATATATTTTAAACACAAAGAAAGGAAATATCTGAAATTTGAGCCTTTTTTTAATTTGTGTGTCACAATGACAAAATGAAAAATAAGAAATAAAAAGTGTTTAATAAATGAATAATTTAGTTCAGAAATTGACAATTTGTTATTCGTTAAGATTTTTTTGTACCATAAAAGATTGATATTAAGGAAGAAAAGCATCATGGAACAAACAGCTTATAATAGGGAAGCAATAGAAAATAAATTTATTGCGTTATTGTAAACTGGCAATCTTTTAATATTAGAAGTATTGATTTATAAAGAAATTTTAAATGAAGAAAAAAACATCAAATGCTGGTTTTATAATAGAGATAAAGCTAGATGTAATCTGTCATATAATATGCTGATCCCTGGGATTGTCAAGTAATGTACATGACAATACATTAATATAAAATATCAAGTCTTCCGGGTGCATAGCTGCACTCTAATGCAGGTTTTTTATCATTTATGATTAATCATAACATGGTAAACCTTTTAGATTTAACCATACTTTATACTTAAACTTACCACTGCAGGTAGATAAAATCAAATCATATATATACGTATTTATATACCAAAAGCAGTTCAGTGAAACAGGTGTTTATAATTTTAAAGATTTTATTTGAAAAAACATGAGCTTAGATATTGAATTGAAATATAAAACTTGTATGAATCATGAATTTTTAGTTCACTTTAAGTTATTTAATGTATAATTTAGGAGATATTATTATGTCACTGATACACAAGTTGATTTTCCCAAAATACCACACCACCAATCACAGGATTGTCTTTCCATGTTTTTTTACTTGTCAATAAATTTTTGCTCATTACCAGAAGATATGAAATCAAAATCAAAATAATGACTGATACTGTTATAAAAATTGCCTCGGTAATTGTGTTTAAGTAAAGTAAAGAAAAATATCTTCTATATCTGTACAATATACATTTATACGTAGAGAGAAGAACTTTCAAAGTTTAAGCATTTACTATTTTAAGGGTTTTTTGTTGTAAAGGATTGTGATTGCACTAAATTCATCCAATATTTTATTGTATCTTTTTCTTTATTTACAAAATCATTTTGATATTTTGACAGATTTTGCTGTCAACAGTGAGATTGACTCGCAATATGTTACCAGTTTATATTGATTCAACATCATATTTAACGTTTTTTATATATATTTTTCAATATACGAGTATAATCATGTGACAAAATCCTCCCGAAGTCCACGCTGACAAAATGAGTTTCTTAAGGAGTATAATCTTTATAGAAAATCAATGAATCAAGACTGAAATATACAACATGTTTTCTGACTGCTGTTTTTTTTTTTCTCCATACAAAAATAGATCTGCTGTCAACTACCCGGGTAGCACTTATATATATCAGTACATGAGATATTTTTAGGACTTTGTTTATCTGCGCAGAAGTTTTATTATTATATTTTTATTTTGCTTGAAGGATATATTCTTGTTGAGTGTGAATTTTATTATTTTATTCAGTTATGTTTGTGTGGGTAGGAATATTATTATGTTGTATACAAGTTTAGCTATATCATAGTAAAGGATTATCATTTGAAGATTAAATGAAATAAGGTTATTATATTCTTTATATTTAGGTAAAGGTGAATCATCATAATAGGTGGTTTTTTTTGGTTTTTTTTAAATAAACTCTACATTCTATACCAGTCATCTTTATTTTTTCTAAGATAAGATTTCATGCAGACTAGATTTATCTTTAAAATATAGAAGGATTGCAATTAAATTCTTTGATATGAGAACTTTTCTATATGATCTGTCTCATATTCTGTCCTTTCAGTCATAAAATTTAAAGGTCTTTTTTTCATGTTATCTATATTATATAATTACAAAACAAGTACATTTTTTCTCAGTCTGATGTTTTTGTCAAACGTTTTATGTGTTAAAGTCTGTTACCATTACTATCAGATGTAAGGTTTTATCTTTCTATCTGTTTTTATTGTTTGGGTTATTTTGATGACAATATAGAGGGATACTATATAATGTATATTTGAGATATAATGTCATTGTTTGCCCATTTATTATGTTATGATATCAGATTACAAAGTGGTAACATACTTTGTATTCCTTTTAAATCAATACTCTTCCTACTAAAATGGCCCCTGGTTAGATCACCTAATAGTATATAATTGTTGTTTAACTGTTAACACAAAAACAATTTTTTTATTGTTCCATAAAATGTGTGGTCTTTATCTGTCCTCTGGTTGTTAAAACTTTGTCCCAATTTTAACATTTTCTTATCATTTACAAGAAATAATATGTTAACTGATGTCATACCATAATATTTGTTCTTTAATTATTGTAAATTCTATTCTTTATTGTAATTTCTATTTCTTTATTATTTCAGTGATCGAATGAGTGACAAAGAGCATCATGGGAAATAACAATTCTCATCAAACTCCGCCTCCATCTTCAATAGATGTTGTTCGAAGGCCACCAAGCAGACCTGATGCCCCGCCCAGTGCAAAACTCACAAGTGAACTGGGCCCAAGGGGGCCAAGCTACCACAGCCCTGAAAACCAGGTGCTACCCAAGGAGCTACCTTCCATCCTTAAACTTAGACCTGTTTCTATGGAAATAAGAAAATACAACCCTGATTATCAAGATATTTATGGTGAGGATAGCAAGGAAAACCTTGATAACAATGAAAATCAAATTGAAATGAACGGAGACATAAATGAGGAGTTAAAACAAAGTTCCCCACCCCGGCCTCCTCCCCCTATTCAAAATGGTCACATTCCATCAAATACTCCTACTTCACCTGTATCACAATTGCCTAATGGTCATCTACAAGCACCTGCAAAACCTTCAACCAGTAATGTAAAGACTCCATACAGACCTAGTCATCGTAGGCAAATGTCATTAGGACAGGAACATACTATTATGGAAGAGCCAGAGGAAACTATTGAGTCACGTGTTAAACTTGACCCATTGATGCAGTCATTTCCTGGTGCTACTGGACCTTCACTGCCTGTGAAGAATAACTTCAATCTGGATTATTCTTACCAGTTGACATATGTTCAGCTTGCAGAACACAGAAGAAATAAAACAATAGAGGAACTTGAGAAAAGAACTGGTAAGAGATTAAGTGATCTAAGTGCAGACTTAAGTGAACACATAGAGAAGCCTGCTTTTATGAGAGATGCTCCCTCTAGAGTGTCATCAAGAAGTTCAGGGAGTGGTGTGAGTAGCAAGAAAAAGAAAGCCCCTCCTCCTCCTGGGCAAGCTCCGCCTCCTCCTCCTGTAAATCATCAGCCTTATTCTGTAGATAATGAGCCTCCTATTGATTATGACATGGAGTCACCTAGAAGGCCGGCCCCTTCGTCTGTTGTCTTGCCAACACATTCTACTCTTCCACCAGTTTCGAGAGTTTCACCTTCTGTTAGTAAGGTGCCTCCTCCACCACCACCTCCCCCTGGCTCATCACCAAGGAAACCAGTTGTAAACCTGTCAAGGACACCAAGTATGTCTAATGGTACACCAGAAATTATCTTGAGAAAAACACCAGATGTGAAACCAATATCAAAGGAGCAAGATGGATCTGATGGTAAAATACCATGGTTACTTGAAATTAAAAACCTCTCTGAAGCTAGGGCTTCTCGAAGGCAACAGTCCTTTGAATCATTTGAAACACCTGAAATACCACAAACTAATGATACATTAAATGATGTGAATGAAACCGAAAATAGTTTGAAAGTAGAAAATAAAGAGCCTGTCAAGCCAAAACTTATCTTTGAAAGTTCATCCCAATCCTTTGAAATTAAGCAAGAAAATGCAGAAAAGACTGATAAAAAAGAAATGGAAACTTCTACTGCAACTGTTGAAAGGAGTAGTTCATTTAAAGAGACAGAAAAGCCACCAGCTTCTAAACTGATAAGACACCATTCAACAACAGGATATGATCATTCAACAGCTGGAAGCCTTCAGAGACAAACATCAGAACCAGCAAAACCTGTAACAAGTGACCCTGTTAGGAGGTTAAGCTCACTTTTGCAACATGACATCAAAACTGCTGCAAATGCAAAGTGTCACAAAATCAAAAAGCAGACAACACCTGTCCCACCAAAACCAAAAGATCCTCACACTATTTTTCGTGAACAGCTTCAGAAGGCAGCAGCTGCTAGGGATGAGAGAGCAAAATCAGAAGGAACTATTGACGAGAAACTTAAACTCAATACAAGTACTGCTAGTTTTGATTTTGGGGCTGAAGATCTAGAAGATGTTCCTAGGTGTAATACTACACCAAGGAAAGAGAAAACAGAGTCTGTTGTGAAGGAGGGGCCAAGTACTCTTCCAAAACCTCCAAGGTATCATAAAAATGTGACTCGTAATTCATCTTACACCAGAGTTCAATCTCCCAGGGAATTAAGAGACAGGCAAGCGGTGTCTATGTCTCTTGATTGGACACCAGAAGTAGATCTGGATTCAGATGATAATTTATCTGATCGTGAGGTAATGACAAAGAGACATAGCTCAATAGATGGATTTAAATCCACAATTATACCTAATGCAATGACTGATATGAAAGCTAAAAAGAAAGGAAAAGGAAAGAAGATTCAGAAAGACAGCAGTTTTTCTGAGGAACAGAACAAGAACAAGTTCGGAAGTGTTAGGAAACTTAAGAAATCAGTACATAAAGGTGTTAAGAATGCCTTTGGTTCCATAAGCAAAGCTTCTGGAAAAATATTACGCAGACAAAAGTCAGAAGATTTCGAAGCTGTAGATGATGCTCCAAAGAACTGGAGCTTGACAGCAAATGGTAACGGACAAAGTGACCGTTCACATAAATATAAAATACCTCTTGCTTATGCACAAGATGATGATTCTGATTCTGACATTGAACAGTATAGACATGAAAACGAATTCTCAGAAGTTGTTTTCCGTCAAAATGGTAGAAGAGACTCGGAAGAGAGTGAAGATTCTACATATGAAAGTGAAGATAAAGCTCCTCAAAACATAAGACGGGCTGGAGTTGCTTACATAAGTGCTAAGGGTCAGTTGGTGCTAATGAAAGATGAAGATGAGGAGGAGATGTTAGAAAGCAAGCGAAGGAAAGATAAGAAGAAGAAAAACAAGGATAGAAGTTTTACTTCCACAGAACGTAGTGAAGAATTATGGGAGAAAGAGAGAAAAGTAGAGGAAGAGAGGAGAAAACAGTTAGAAATGGAGTTAGAGTTGCATAAGAAGAGAGAAGCAGAGACTAGAGAGAGATTACAGAGGTTAGAATCTGCTCATCTACAGCAACAACTGTTACAGCAGCAGCAACAGCAGCAGCAACAACAACAAAACTTAGGGATGTTGAGTGCACCTCCACTGCCTCCTGCAGGAAATTTCACAAGCTATGGAACTCTTCCAGACCCATCAAGGGCTCAAACTCAGTCATTTACAAACATATTTGGACAGCAGCTTCCACAGAATGGGTACCAGCCAAATTTGGGACTTTATACACAGACTGGTACATATAATCCAGCAACTGGGATGCCTTATGATTTAAATGACTACATGAGAATGCTTGGGGTACAATCTCCCCCTACCTCCCAACAAATGGCATTCTTCTTAAACAATATGACATTAACTAATCAGCCATTTGATAGAAAATCAAATCCAGCTCTGTTTGAAGTTTTCAATCAACAATACCCGACTGGGACTTTAAATTATCAAGGAATGGACACTAGCAGCTTAAAGAAATCTGCTTTTCAGAATTGGGCAAGTACACCAAATATCAATATGACAAGTAGTAGTGTAGCAAATAGTGTTCCTTTGAGTGATTTTGTTGCAAGTTACAATGGTGCTAATAAAACAAACAATGAAAAGGAGGACGATAAAAAGAAATCGCGTAATCCTTTATATGATAGTGATGATTCTGATAGTGGATTATCGCCACAAAAATCTGTGGCGCGTGCACAAGTGAAAGACTATAGAAAAATTCCTGTGCGTTCAGAATCGGGAAAGTTCATGCAAAAGTATGGTAGTGAGAGTTATGTTTCACAAAATAACCAAGATACAAAAAGTACCTTTTCGAACACAAATAAATCATTAACAAATTTACCTTACAATGAGGGCCTTCCTCAGCAGCAACGAAGTGTGTCTCCTAGCAACAGCGTGTCAACAGTAGACAGTGCCATGTCAGCTACGTCAGTTACTCTCAGTACACCCTCATCACCTGCAAGGTCAACAACAGGTGCACCACCTTCACCCACCTTGATGTCAAGGACACAGAACTCAACACATGGATTTAAGACTGTCCTTGACCTAAGTTCACCAGAAGGAGGCTCTATGCAAATTATTTCGTAAGTTTCTTTATAATGATACTTTGATGACTTTTTTTCTTCATTTTGTAATGTTTTTTATACTTGCTTTCAAAGGGAGTGTATACACAGGTATATGGGGTAAAAAACTAAGAGGAAAGAAAGCTTAAAAGGGATTTGATTGATAACTAATTTTGATAAATTTGTTACTTTAAAAGAAAAGAAAAAAAAATTATACTTAGAGTTCAGATGTACTATCAACAAGTTTTTTAAATGCATTCTGTATGTATTAAATTACCATATTAATACAATGTAATATATTACAAATATTTTAATCTGTTAGCTTCTGTAAGGATCAAAATTGTACATGTATATAAAAACATAAATATATGTGTACACTCCTTGTTATTTCTGTTTTTCTAATATGGAATCTTTGCACTCCTTTTTAAAATACATCATACATGACAGCTTCATTTGTAGGTAAATTAGGCCTCATTAACTTCATGATTTATCATGCACCTTCAAAGTGACAGATAGGTTGTAGTCCTTTAATATTTATGTTTGATGACATTAATAAAAATTATTGAACCATTTAATTGTTAGTCATTTGGAATAAAAAGCAAGTACCAAAAGACCTTTGTGTTTACAAGCATTGGTAATAATATGCCACTATTTACATGAAATTTATTTGAATGATGATGAAATTTTTTACAATGATGCTGATTGGGCTTACTTTGCACTACTTTTTCTTCCAACAAGAATGCCCAAATTTGGAAATTTTTGACAGTCTATGTAGCATATACTGTCCTTAATAGCATTTATTTAACCATATATTTAAACCTGGCATCTATCTTGGTAAACACTAGGCGTGCCTATTAAATTTAGGTCATCAATTCAGGTAGACGCTAATAAAAAATAAATGTCTGAACAATTACATAATGACTCCTACCTTGCTCCCTTTTGAGCAGTGATACAACTAATTAAAGTAGGACACAAATTAACTCAAATCAAGTTGTGCTTGAATTGCATGTTACCATATTTTTTGTTATGCATCATGTATACTTATTAAAGCTGGATTGTTTCATCAGTTTCAACTAGTACTGGTGTCACATGACAAGGGATCTATCCTGTGATCCAGAGTCTGTGAGGCAATTCCCGACCCCGTTATACCTATGCCACCTCTAACCTTAATTGGCACTTAAAGATTTATTTCAATTGGTTTAATGATGACAGAAATTATGAATATACAAAGCTTATTCATGAATTTTATTAATATTAATGAAGACATAGATACATAAATAAATAACTGATTAACATTATTTTACAACTACACTTAAATATTTACAAGCAAGCATAAAATTAGCATAAAAAAAGAAGTAAAAAAATACATTCCCTAAAAAATCAGTGAAAATAGAAGTTTAAGATATAAAGTTCAGTATTGTTTTCATAAATTAACATTTCTAATTAGATGGAAAATTTTGATGTTTCAATAAAACTCAAGGACTTAAATGTGAAATGTCAGTTAAATTGACATTAGTTAACATGGTTTAAATGAAAATTAATTATGTACAAAATTATTATATGTTATATTAAAGTGGATAATTGTCATTTTAAGTAGAGAAGTTATTTTTGAATTATGCACTGCTTGTACTGACGCTCCTTATATTAATGAAAGCTTGCACCAAGATGTTTCGTTTCAAACTGCATGTACTGTCTCATTTAATTACAAGGTGCTTAAATTATTGGTACCTAATTGAGAATTTTATGCCCTTTACAACAGAATTTTACCTACATGTATACACGCGTTTTAACTATATTAATGTCATTTTTCATTGGATCTTTATGTGGATTAATCAGTTAAAGTCTTTGCAAGAGTTATGGGTCATGGTTATTGACCTGAAGTTCTCCTTTTGCATAATCTAATCCTTTACAACTTTTCCTTTAAACCTTTTACAACTACTTTTTTCCCAAAGACCAGTCCTCAATCAATCAATCAATCAAGCAAGCACTAAGATTTAAGTTGAGCATATGCTCTCTTGTTAACATTTTTTTATCCTTTATTGTTGTATTTTCAGTATAAATTAGAGTCTAGACTGTTACAATGAAGCATGTAATAGTAAATGTTTATTTTATGTTCACTAATTTGCCATGATGTTGCATAATTATTAAAAAAAGATACATAAATTGTTTTTTTAAATTTTCTCCATGTCTCAAGCTACATTTACCCTTCTTTAATGCTCAGTTTAACATGCCTCAAACTCTGCATTTAACTGTGCAATGAGTTTTTTTTTCTTTTACTTCTAAACGTAAGAAAATTATTTAAATTTTAAATAAGTTTTCTAAAGTAGGTCTTTTCATACCCCACATAACCATCACCTATTTGAGAGTGAAAAACAAGCCCACTTAAAAAAAATGCTTTTATTAAAAGTCACTAAAGAATATAATATATACCGGTATAGCAAAATGAAATTTTTATAACAGTTTCTACTTTATTCTGAATAAAAAAAAATATTTTGTTTCCTATTTACCTATAAAATTCACTTAACATTATCAATCTAACATAAATTGAATTTTGAATTTTCATTTAAACCATAATTGGATATTCTACTTAATTTTAATTGAAAGAAGAAGTCATTTGGAAGCTTTAAATGGTGTATTTGATAGAGATGATGAGTTATAATGTATAGAAAATACATATAGTCTAAAATGATTCGATTTATATTCTTAATATTTAATAGATTTTGTTTATCAAGAAATGCATTTTAGATTTTGATTAAAAACATTTTGACAGCTTTATGAAAATAGAAAGAAAAATTAGGTTTGTGAAATTATATTTGGGTAAATAAGATAATTATAGTTGAACAGTTGATAATCAAATGGGGGAAATTTGTTATGAATGTTGGGGATTGACAAATTGATACATGTAATACCTTAAAGGTATTGTTGTTTTGTGATCTATGTTGCGCGTACCTCTACTTCTTGTTACTCCATCCTCGTTAGTTTATGATTCAACAAACTGCTTCAGCTGATTACATTCTTCAGCTTGGGGCAGGTTATATTCTATTTGTTCAAATAATTTGTTTGAAAATATATCTTAAACAAAAATCTACCATTTTGAAATATAAAGTAAAATTGATCTGCGCAACTCATAATTTGTAACATTTTGCCAGTGAACTTAATGAAGCGTAGTTTTGTAGTTTGTACTGCCGTGATTTGTCAAACAAGGTGATTTATCTTTGATTGAAATTTAATTGAAAATTCTTTCAGTCCATACAGTGTGAATAATTTATGATGGAAACAAAGCGCTTGACAACAAAAACTAATTAATTTGCATTTTGCATTCCTTGTACTTTTTTGTCATTTTTGAAAAAGAAAATCCATTGGAATTTTGCCCACTTTTTTGTTAGATAGCTTCAAGTTTTGTTGAGAATTTTATTGCTGTTCTTAAATATAGTATAAGAAATTTTTTTAACAAGCAATTGTGATGTTTTTACTTCATTGTATTTTCTTTCACTTTCAGGACAAATGGTGACCCAGTCAAGTTATGAGTGTTTCACCGAGTTAATCATTCATCATAACCAATGATCTGCCTCTATACTAGTCATGTGACCAAAGGTCAACAAAGAGTGATTCAAGGTCAACATAGTGTCAACTGTTTTCATGTTCATGAAACAGCAACAAAAGGACTGTATTAATGCATTTCATCTGTAAACAAGAGACATGAACTGATGAAAAATGAATGTGATAATGCATATGTAAGGCACTGGCGATGAAATATATAGGTCAAGGTTACGTCAAGGTGACTTTGCATCTGTATGCTAAAAATAGAATGCTACAATAATTGATAGTATATTACTATTTATAAATGAGTGTCAAACCAGAAATTGCCAAAACTGAAAGAATAACATCTGATATACTCAAAAATTGGAAACAATGATTTCATTTCACAGTTACATTCAGAAAATTGAGAACAGTTCAATTACACGAAAATGTTAAAGATTTCTTTGACAGCTTTATGAAAAGACGAAATGTTCATAAATTATAAAATTTCAAATTTTTGTTAACTTTCTCACCTTTAGTATGACTGCATGAAACAAGCTGATTCAGAAATAAAGATTTTCTCTAAATGTCTCTGGGCTTTTTGACATGTTAAAAATGGCATTTTATTCAATATTTTGAGAGATCATAAATTATATATTTTTGTACACCATAATGTATACTATACACATCATCAGAACTATATTTAGAATTTTGTGATATAGCTCTATATTAAGAAATAGATCTGTAGAAAGTTGATATCTTTATATAACTAATCTAAATTTCATGTTATCCTGCCAAACTTATGTAATAGATTCATCCTGCTTAGATTTTTGCACCAACCATTGTTAATTTGTTTCCATATCAAAATCATGGATCTCCCATTATGCCAAGTGGTTAAGTGGTTGCCAACTGTAAACAAGTTGCCCTCAGGGCTGTTGGTTTAAATCCCTCGAGGGGCTTCAGATTCTTTCATTGAGGTATGGCTTAAATCCAGCCTAGCTCATATGGAAGCTTCATGGCTCCACTCTTGTGTCAGTTTGTACGTTAGACACATGGGCACCTGAGGTCTTCTTCCAACAGTTTAACTTGAAAAGCTTCACAAGACATTTACATTTATATATTCATGTCTTATTCCTGTAAAAATTATATTTTTCTTCAAGAATGAAACAACTTATTTAATAATTTAGAAAGAAAAGTGTTTGCATTCATAAATATCATCAGCATTATTGTCCATCTTTTTTAAAGAAAAATGTTCTGTTTAAAATTCAGTAAAATTTGATTTTTTTTTTACAGCTGTTTAAATTGTCTTCCTCATTTTATAGGTAGTAATGCTACAAGCAAAAAACAGTCCTATTGTCTAACTTCTGTAGCACTTTGAATTGTAAATATTAAATGTTTGTATAGAGTATGTTTATGTTATTTATCAGGTGCAAAAATAAACAAGTTTAGTTTGTTAAGTGCTTTTGATCAAATTTTATTAAGAAAATTCTTGGCCAGTATGCTGCGGGGATTCTTTGCTGGGCAAAATTATAAAGAACATTTTTTTCCCTCACTGTTTATTGTTTTTGTCATTTTTAAAAGGTTTCAAAAGTATACAACATAGAATTTAATGTCCTTAAGTAGTTCCTGGTATGATTTTTAATTTCATTTGTTTATTTAGACACATGCAAAGCTATCATTTTTCATTTGATAATGCAATCTTTTGCAAAAAAAGGCGAGGATTTCTTAAAAGCATAAGTGCTAGTTTGATATTTAAAACTCGGTAATATATTACAAAGTTGTGTGCAATCGTTGATAAAAACATGTTACATGCTGTGATCTTACATATCAACAAGTACAATTTGTAATTGGTAATATGGTTTCATATAAAGAAATATCATTATCAGTGTTACTTCCCTTTGTCAATATCACATCATTTGTATTATACTTGAATATTATAGATATTGTACAATTTAATTATATCTAAGCTTTAACTATTTAAAGTATTTCTTCTCTGTTTTTAACATAACCACGCCAAAACAAGTATATTTTAAAAAATATGTGAATCAATTTATTCTAAATTAAATAAAAATAATGTATGTTCACAAGGGTCCCCACAGCTTTATGTGAAAGAAAAATGTTACTGTTACGTACTCAGAAAACTATGTTATAAATATATATATGATAATTATATATAGATACTATAGATTTGCAATATATTATAATGACTGTTCTTGTTTGTATATTGTTATACATGTATTAAAAAATATAATGTATATGTTTTTGTATATTTGTTACAGTTGTTTACAAAGTCTACTTATAAATTTTTGCTTCCAGAGATCTCGAGGTTTCATAAAATAATAATTACAGAATTTAATTAAGGTAGCTATTCACTATTTCATTAGTAAGAAAAAAACACACATCAAATTAATGTAAAAGCGGTTCCACATTATTTTGTTACCTGACATTATGTTAGGATCGACTGGTCTTGTTATACTGGGGTCTTAAAATATCCAGTATTGAGACATAAATATTTGTCGATATGATTATATATTATGATTATATTTCTGAATATTTATTTTGGTATCTAATTTGCGATGTTTCAACCTCGGAACTATCCATTAATAGTCTCACCAATTTCAATGTCAAGATAGTTACATGTATTAATCTTGAGAGGTGATAAGTATAAAGTGTAGTCAGGCTGCGGGGACGTGCAGACTTGCCCGACTATGTACTCATGGCACGTACAAGTCATAATTCACACTAAAATTATGTCTGAATAATTGAGTTTATTAATGTACCTAATACTTAAAAATTACATTCTTTATTGTAATTTGCATTGCTTTCTTTATTTGTATGTTGTAAACATTATAAGTCGTAGATGAAAACAAAAACAAGACATTTAAGGTACTAATTAAAATGTTTAAGTTTGGAAAGTTGGCAGTTTATGTATAGAGAATGGTTTTTACTGTTTTGATATACATGTAGATGTTTGAAACATATCTTCATTTCATCATTATTTAGTCCAACTCATTATACTAAGAGTCTAAGACTTGAGTTTAAAAATTTTCATTTTTTATTTCTTTTTTATGTATGGCCGATACCTTCACCTTTTCTGACCCTCTACTGATACAAATTTGTCTCAAAATCTGCTCAATACATCAAATTATTTTAACTTATAATTATATGTATGAAATGGTACAAGAGTCAGCTACTTCGTGAATTGAAAACTATATATTAATGGTTTTTCTATAATTGTATAGAAAAATATGTACTTCGAGTTTGCGAAGTAAAGCATTGAAAACAATCCTCTAGGCACAATTTTAGTCATGTCTTTTAAAGACCAAATTAAAAGCATTAAACCTTGCAAGTAAGGCCTTGTCGCCGTCAATTTAACAAAAAAATGGATATTGACTTTTCTCTTAAAAACGTTGTAAACTATTTTTATGTCAGTTCACCTTGTATGATGAAAGTCAACTTAAACTGTCCACAAACCTGCATAAAAACCAGCATAATTTAAGATCACGAGCAACTTTTTATGTGGTTAATAATAACTCTATTTTCATTTTATATGCTTTAGGAAATTTTGGAGTTTATCATTTTGTTAAGATAAGAAAAAATGTTGTTGATTTGAGTTCACTTTTCTTCATAAAGAAAATTAGGTTAATTAAGATAACTGGAGTCTTCATGTACACAGAAGGAAATAAAATACAATTATCTACATGTATATCTATGTACTTTTAAAATTTCACATGAAAAGTTTCATGTTTTTCATTCAAATTAAAAAAAAAGAACTTGAATATTTTTGTAATACCATTGGCCTATTTTTAACCAGGTTTTCCGAAGGAAAAAACTGGTTATTAACCAGGTTTTCCGAAGGAAAAAACTGGTTATTAGATTGAGGTATGTCGGCGGGCGGGCGGCGGATGGGCGGGCGGGCCGTCTGGGCGTAAACAATTTCTTCTGTGCGCAACTCCTCCTACATTTCTCAACGGATTTTGACCAAACTTTCACAGAAGCTTTGTCATCAAGTGCCCTCGCGCATATTGTCGGGGTTTGCGATTAGATAATATTTGACCTAATTATGGCCCTTTGTTTTTTTTTCCTTATATAAAATATATAGTGAACAATTTCTTCTGTGCGCAACTCCTCCTACATTTCTCAACGGATTTTGACCAAACTTTCTCAGAAGCTTTGTCATCAAGTGCCCTGTCACATATTGCCAGGGTTTTGCAATTGGTATATATTTGACCTAATTATGGCCCTTTGTTTTTTTTCCTTATATAGAATATATAGTGAACAATTTCTTCTGTGCGCAACTCCTCCTACATTTCTCAACGGATTTTGACCAAACTTTCTTAGAAGCTTTGTTATCAAGTGCCTGGCACATATTGTCGGGGTTTTGTGATTGGATAATATTTGACCGAATTATGGCCCTTTGTATATTTTTTCCTTATACAGAATATATAGAGAAACAATTTCTTCTGTGCTCAACTCCTCCTACATTTCTCAACGGATTTTGACCAAACTTTCTTAGAAGCTTTGTTATCAAGTGCCTGGCACATGTTGTTGGGGTTTTGTGATTGGATAATATTTGGACCGAATTATGGCCCTTTGTATATTTTTTCCTTATACAGAATATATAGTGAACAATTTCTACAGTGCGCAACTTCTCCTACATTTCTCAATGGATTTTGACCAAACTTTCACAGAAGCTTTGTCATCAAGTGCCCTGGCGCTCACTAAATTCCCATGTTTCTTCCAAGACATCATTCAAGTATTTTTTTAAAATTGTGAACATACTTTTCTTGATATCGCACAAAACACCACACGCCAATATTGTTGACAAAAGAAAATGACAAGAGACGCAAAAATGCAAAAATTAAGCAAAAATAAAGTACTGTTTACCTTTCTAAAATATTTGGGAAAAAAAGGCGAATAGACAACATAAAATTTCTCAATCATTTTTGTTTGAGGAATATTAAAAAAGCCATAATTCCTCCTAAAAGTTCAATTAAAAACAAATGCCCCTTCATGACAAAGCTTCTGTGAAATGTTTTGCTGAAAACCTGGTTGCATCGCATTGCGATGTTCCTTGTTTTTTTTTATCTCTTTGATGTTTTTTTTCCCATCAATTGTGTCATAATCATTCTTGCAAATTTGCCATTTTTTCATTCACAGGTTTATAAAAGTAACCAAATTTTGTTTTACTTTAATTTCCTATTTTTCTCTCAAGAACTTCATCACTTTAATCTTGAACCATTTTTTTCTACCTCAGACATTTCTTGTATCATTTACAACAGGTTTTATCTTCCATGATAATATAAATAAAAGAAGTATGTGACATTAGAATGTTGAAATTATCATATATTTTACTGTTTACATTTGTCTTGTCACACACAACATAATGTTCCTTCAAATGGCAAAATTACTGTCCAATTAATCTATATCATTTGTAAAATTTATTTTTGAAAAATACTCCATTAATTGATGGCGTGTTCTGACAAAGAAACTCCAAACTTTTGCCGAAATTCACAGAGCTCTATAGGGTTCCTCTGCCTTAAGTTCAACCACAGACTTTAATTAAAGTGACCACCACTATATTTAGAATCATCTACTCTAGACATGTACTCTTAAGCCATTTAATTGTATTTGTCAGGAAAAATTCAGGAAACATATTATTTGTACATTATACATACATTCATTCTATTCTTGCAATTGTTTTCTCGTTTTTTTTTACATGAAAATATTTTGATATGCTGTCAACATCAAACATTTGTACTTCATCTTTAACTATCGGAGTGTTAACAATAACATGTACTTGTGTTTTGTTGGACTTTTTAGGTGAATAATATTTATTCTTTTGAGAGTCATTGTTTTTCATGAATGATATGTTAGATTTTATATCTGCTTTAAAGGTAAATCTCATTATTAAACACTCATTATTTGCTAATTTCATACTACATTTAAATGTTGCAAAATTATGATGTATTAAATTATTAGATATTTTGCAGTGAGTTTTTTCTGTAAGAAAAAAAGACACATTTTATAATATAACATAATGTGCCATTATCACATAAAACTGCCAAAACATTCTTAAAATATTGCAGGGTCATCTGTTACCATAGTAACCTTTTTATACTGAATATGCCATCATTTATTTTAACTTTTTGTTAAAAAAGTTTCACAAAAACAGTAGTGACTTTACTTAACCTGCATTTGGGGATATTTTGGTTTATTTGTACATTTTGTATGATTTTTTTCTCATTTTGAGTGCTTCTTTTTCTAAAACATAGATAAGATATTCATATAAAAAGTTTTCTTATTTTTTGTAAGAAAAAATTAAAGTCAAAAATGATATGTTTATTGTTTATTGAGTGTTTCGTGTTAAGTCAATAATAAAACAGAAACTAATAATTGACTCATTTTAACTGTAATCAAAATGCTTTCTGTTTGCGTATTAAAGTTTACTGAAAGAACAGAAAGCATTTTATTAACTTTAACATAAACATTACGAGACTTGATTTTTTGTCTCTCACCTGAATTATGTTCTAAGACACTCCCATGTACCTGTTATTTGTTGGAGAAATTTCGTTATGATACTAAATTAAGATTTGTTATTTGTTAGACTATTTTGATACCATGCAATAATTACATTCCATTATTCAATTATATATGTATATTTACTTATTCATAATATTTATATAAATAAAACAAGAAGAAACGATCTATGCAAGCAATAAATGTGGTTTTTTTTTTACTTTTTACTCGCTGAAGATTCTCCGGAAACATTCGACATAAGCTCATTAAATTATAATACTTTTTTATAATCCAGAGTAAACAAAAATCTTGCCAGACAGCCGCTTTAATAATATGTGACTATTTACAATATTAAGAAAGTATATATGTAAAAAAATCTAGTAAGCGTTTGTCAATAAAATGACAGAAAATCAGGAAAGTGTCATCCAAACTATAATGTATGAATGAAATGTAGTGCAAAGTTTTGGTAAGTTCTCTGGAACGAAAAGAATCGACGTGTGACTATTGCTAAAAGATTTAAGCCGTCTCACGACAAAACCAACATAGCGCGTTTGCAACCAGCATGGATCCAGACCAGCCTGCGCAGTCTGATCAGGATCCATGCTGTTCGCTATCAGTTTCTCTACTTGTAATAGGGTTGGTAAGCGAACAGCATGGATCCAGACCAGCCTGCGCAGTCTGATCAGGATCCATGCTGTTCGCTTACCAAACCTATTACAAGTAGAGAAACTGATAGCGAACAGCATGGATCCTGATCAGACTGCGCAGGCTGGTCTGGATCCATGCTGGTCGCAAACCCATTATGTTGGTTTTGTCGTGATGCGGCTCATCTCTTAATATGTTCGTACTTCATTAAAACGTAGTTCATACGAATAATTGGTCACCTTTTCTTCATGCTCTGTCAAACTAAATTATTTCTTTTATCGACTATTTAATAATACCCCGGAACACTAAAACTAAACTTTCAATATGAAGAAGAGAGTACTTAAGACGAATTGATCACGGCTTTAATTGATCCGCGGAAAAAATAGTCCGTGGAACTATTTGAGGACATTACAATATAAGAGGCTTATGCCACACTCTTAAGGCGCTAGATTACCTTAATTTATAAAAACTTTTCTGTCAGGTGTATGCAGGGTTCAAGACTAAAAGGTGAACCTTGGTAGTTTATTTGTATTGAATGAAATGTAGGAATGCACGAATGTTGAGGAAAATAACTATATAAATCATGTTTGATTAAATTGTCGATAGACATTTATTGCTACAAAATTACATTTATTTGTAACAAAAATAGCCCCCAACACGGGTAGTTACAACAATAAATGTTTTGAACTATGGTTGATATATCAAGCAAAGGTTAAGGTTTATATCTGAGGTCTGCTGACAATGAAGCAACGCAAAGTGCATAGAAAATGTTCCACAATGACAAAATGATTAACATACTTCTGTCATTTTTGGAAATGAATATACAATAACATATGTACCGAGGTTTGTTTCACCATCGACACATTCAGCTCTTTATTCCTTGATTGCAGTTGTAGTGACGGGTTATGCAACAAAATATTTAGCCAATATTTCATTGGACCATAAAATTTTAAAGATCGCTTATTCCAGAACTACCGGTATGCCATTGTCATTGTCATTAACTAAGTAGGTTAAAGCCCTTAACCTGCTAAAGAGTGGTCGACCTTTGTCGCCAGTATAGAGAGCCTCAACAGTCTGACCATCTCTGCAAGTATAGAGAGTCTCAACAGTCTGACCATCTCTGCCAGTATAGAGAGCCTCAACAGTCTGACCATCTCTGCCAGTATAGAGAGTCTCAACAGTCTGACCATCTCTGCCAGTATAGAGAGCCTCAACAGTCTGACCATCTCTGCAGTTCCATCAGGATTTATACTGTTTGCTGACCAACTGCGGATATTTGTCTTAATATCCCACAAGAAGATACTGGACAGTTAAAAACAACGGAAGCTGGACAAGTCTTTGCTCAGTTAGTTACGGGTTAGATATGATGTCCATTTTATGCCAAATCATGTTGACTTAGCAAAATATAGTGGGATTACGGTCAATTATACGAAACTCACCGTTCATTTGATGACCATAAAAAGATTTCTTGGATAGCGTCACTTCGATATACATTGTAAATGAAAAGTTTTATTGGTTGAAAACATCAACAAGAAAAAATAATAGATTCTGAAAGATTAATTTCACAACAGCCGCGTTCATACCCTGTTAATCATTAACTATAAATAGACATAGGCGTGATGTTGGTAAACATTAATTTACCAAAAAAGCTCATGTACAAGTACATGGATATTACATTAATATATTAATGCGATGCACGTGAAAAGCACGAGATTTGTATAAACACTAAATAGTCTTCATTTGTAAAAATCATATTCATACAAAACTACAAATGTACATGTAATAAATCATTATATATACATTTGTATTAATGTACATTAGTATCATTAATAGTGTAACAGTTCATTACATATGAGCCGCGTCACGACAAAACCAACATAGTGGGTTTTCGACCAGCATGGATCCAGACCAGCCTGCGCATCCGCGCAGTCTGATCAGGATCCATGCTGTTCGCTTACCAACTCTATTACTAGTGGACTGATCAGACTGCGCGGATGCGCAGGCTAGTCTGGATCCATGCTGTTCGCAAACCCACTATGTTGGTTTTGTCGTGACGCGGCTAATATATTTCATTGTATTCTGTGAGTAGTTATTAAATAAATCGTAAGGAAGCAAAATGTTTAATGGTAAAAATCGAAAACGTTTTGACTTTTGTCCAAAATGTAGCTGCACTAGTATTGTTCAGAACATAAACAAACAACCTTCTTTTGTCCCTGTAAATGCATCAACAACCAAAAGCAACACTCGAAACTTTAAATATAAAAACATGTACAGGGTAACATTTTTCTTATTTTCTACTTCAGAAGATCAAATAGGATTAAAATAATTTTCTTTTTGATGGGTTTTTATGAAGTAAGAAACATTTTATCGTAATAGTTTTTTTTTCATGCTTCGGATATTTTCTCTCAATGATTCATTCATAAGTATGTAAATTTATTCATATATAATACCTTACACTAAATGATTAACACATGTAACCTTATAAGGCCCCACTGGTTGTGAAACGATTTGTCAAAATTTGATAAAAGATCTTGTAGTTGTCAAAACATCCCTGTTTATGTAAAATATGTCAGGTTTCGGACATCATATAAAATAAGTTCGGAATGAATGAATGAATGAATGAATGAATGAATGAATGAATGAAGGAAGGGAGGAAGGAAGGAACGAACGAACGAACGAACGAATGAGTTTCAAAAACAGCTAACAAAATAATCTACTTATAAAATAAAATCTAAAATCAATAATAGCACCAATTTCAAGAAAAAATGTGGAAGTAAAAACTCAATGTGCATATGCGTGCTTTCAGAAATATTTTAATATGCAAGTCATATATGAGAAGCAAACTCATTTTGTATTGCTAATACTGGATTCCGTGGTTCTTTTCAAACTAAATATATGCCAAAATAATCTTAAATAGGTAAAATATTCAAACCCCATGCAAGCAACGTAGGCGTTGTGGGTAAAAAATTCCGCCTTTTTGCCCTTAATATTTTCAAGTGTTATTAGCATGGTAACATTTTTATACGCATCAAGGGAGTTAAATCTTTGATTGTTAATTTCCTGTCAATTATGCGTTATCTACCTTTGAAGTAAAGTGTTTCATAGCGCATACATTTAGAATTTTGATACCCGCGCCCCATTTTGACGTTGAGTTTACGACAATCTATTAATTTTAACGTCATAAACCGACGTCATAAATTATAGCGTCACTTGTTGCTTGCCAACGCTAAGACGCCAGAATGTAATGAAAAACGAAAATAAGTCGTATCGATTTATTCAGGGTCTTTTAGAGATATTTGGAGACAACCACAGATAACAAATGTCTCTAGAAATCTCAGTAGGGACTCAGGCTGGGATTTTTGAGTCGCGTGTAATTGCCAGCTACATTATAGAACTGTTGAAGAAATGTCATGAAATTCGCGATCTTTATGGTGCCCTCGCAGAAGAATTGAAACAAGGACGCGAAAGTTTAAATGAACATGAGCAGACGATAGACAATATGCAGATTACAGTGCAAGCATTTAGTGAAACAATGGACAAGATAGGAGTTCGAATGCTACAAGAAAACATTGCGGTATCACAAAGGCACACACAAATTGATGCTCTCAAACGGGATATTGGTATGTACTTAATCTTGAAATGTTAATGTTGTATTAATGTCACTTGATCTACAATTTTCAATGTTTATAAATAATTGCGCGGCCATCTGGGCGTGTGTTTTATTTAATCTGGTGATAAGCATCTCACATGTTCTATATAGATATCAATTATTACAATATTATAAAACACATGTTGCTCCTTTCTACAGAAATAAAAAATCATTTCTGAAGCTTCATGTGCCTCTAAACATTATATGAACTGATCCAGTTTCTAAGCAAGGCAAATCAACTACACAAATTCAATAAGTTAAGGGTTAAATTTAAGTAATATGTTTGCGTCTTTCAGCGGTGTTGTCCGAGTACATAGAAAATGGCAGTCAACATCAGCAGGCGACAACAAATCGAAAAGAGGAACATCTGAATGACGTCAAAACACGTCGAGGTGAAATATTGTTTTTATCTTTACACCAAAATTAGATAAAAATTGTAGAGTAAAATATTCAAATAGGCCATTTCTTCATAATATCGTTTTGCATAAAGAAATCGGATTGAAAGGTTTAGTACAGGCAAAATAATGCTCGTAGACATAAATAATCTGCAAAAAATCAAAGCGCTGGAAGTACTGTGAAAACAAACTTATCCGATGGTGAGAGAGGTAGTGAACAATTTATTTTCAAAGCACTGCCATGGAAACGCATTATTAGGGATGACGTTACTTTTAGATATATGTGAAAACTTTCACAATATCATCAGTAACTTTTTGGCAGTATCAGTTAGGTCCTGTTCATTTTTACATAGAGTAACATTGAAATTGTGAATTCTTCCAGAAGTCATGTGTTTTACTTAATTAAATGGTATGCAAGCAACATTGAAAAGTTAAACCATCCTAGAAAAGAAGCAAATCTGTTATTTTTTATTTTCAAGGAACTTTTAATATTGTAAGTAAAGATTGGTTAAAGTATTTAATCTTTCAAATTATGATTATTAACTTTTTGCGCTAATATCCATGTAAAGTTTGTAGATTTCTAATATAAACATAAAAAATTAAGCTACTTAAAGCTTAAATTCTGGTAAAAAAATGAACGGACGTGCAGACTGGTGGGAAAAGATCGTCAGTTTCGGTTAGGACAGGTAAAGAACATTATATCTTTGCCTTGTGTCAAATAGTCATGTGATATTCACCATAGTTCATTTGAGCCGCGTCACGACAAAACCAACATAGTGCGTTTGCGAACAGCATGGATCCAGACCAGCCTGCGCATCCGCGCAGTCTGATCTGGATCCATACTGTTCGCTTACCAACCCTATTACAAGAACAGAAACTGATAGCGACCAGCATGGATCCTGATCAGACTGCGCGGATGCGCAGGCTGGTCTGGATCCATGCTGGTCGCAAACGCATTATGTTGGTTTTGTCGTGACGCGGCTAATTTTATTTTATAGGAAAGATGGGGATGCAGCTAGCAAAGATGAAAACAAATATAGACAATACCTACGAGGACCTGTTTGAAACACAAGAAAAACTAATTTCTTTGAAGGTATTCATCTAATTATTTAGTAACCCTAGAAAGACCGGTGTTTGGCCTGTTTTACGTTAGGTATCTCAAGTTTTTTTTGTATTATCAATGTTCAAATAATGGCCTTTTGTGGCTTGTTTACAATAAGTGTTCTTTTTCTGTAGACGATCAGTTAGTATAGATATATTTGATGAAGATTCTTTGCTTTAAAACGACTTATCAAATTACATAGCATGTATCTATTTTGACAATTTGTTTATATTTTTATTTGTCTTTTTTTCCTTTTGTATATACCCCTTAAACATAGGCATATATTTCTGAAATCTCGTTTTTCATTTCATTTCAGTGAATTGTTTCACTAAGAAAAAAGACCTTATGCGTAATATTTTTTTATTTTGAGACATTTGACTGTTAGATTTTTTAATGAATTTGACGAGCTTTCCTTTGGAACTGTTCATTGTCAATTTTGGGGATATCAACTTGAAATTAAAATTTAGTCAGCCAATAGTAAAGAGTCTGGTCAGATTGAACAGATATACAGACTGGCCTTACAGTAAATAGATGGCAATGGCTACTCATTTCCGGTTTCAGCAATGCATATTTTACAGTATGTCTTCTTTGACTTCCGTTATCAGTTTGCAGAAAAAGGTGACTTAAAATATGCATGCAGTCAAGAATATTATGAAAACTTAGCATGGGTTTCGTTGGTTAGTCCTGTTAGATTCCTCCTTAGTCCTGTTACTTTCTTCTTATTGTTGACGAAAAATGGAAGTAAACCAATAAATTTGTCAATTACATATTTATAGGATTTACGGGAAATGAGACGTGAAGCTGAGACCGTTGAGATAGCTGCATTGAAGGACAAGTCGGCCTCGGCCACCGACAGAAAACGGTCTATCTTTATGATCACTGATAAGGGTACATATTTACAGGTGTAAAAGGTTCATTATGTCACAGAAATGCTATCATTTTTATTTCTCAAAACCTTTTTATTTTTGGTATCTTTTTACAGTTTCCAAAAAGTTAATCATTTGCCATATAGATGAAAATTTTTTGCCTCTTTTGCTCTGTTGGCGATTGGTATAATTATAGTGAATTAGTATTTTGTATAGAAGTCCAATAACCACTTTGTTTTACATTTTGCTACCTTTGCCACATAACTGCATGTCCAGCGCTACTTTCTTCATTTGTAAAACATCTAACACGCTGTAAACCCATTATTAAAACATTATTTAACACATGTTTGACATTTCTAAAGAATTTAAAAAATATGAATTTCTGAGGCATAATTTGCTTTTTATAATGGCTTTATATAAACAATATACATGTATGCTCTCTGGTTTTCAGTTGACTTTATTAATCGGTGTTTTGCTCCTAAATAAATAGATGCTTCCATCATTTCTCATAAAAGTTTATTTTGCTATTACAAGATAATACAATAGATAAATTTCGTCCAGAAACTCTATAAAGATCGCCTTTTATGGCAAATTTGAAAAAAGTTGCTCACATCTTACTTTTGTAAATCAACTGAAGGCATACGAGAGATTGTGTTATAAACCTTGTCAAAAATGTTTATTATATTTGAAAAATCTTGAACGAAAAGAAAAATCAGTCATTCCGTTTTCATTGACAATCATTGATTTTATGTTCACAGCCTTGCTTTCTTTTATTAGATTCATTCAACTTGAGTGAAATGTACGTCAATCCAACAGCGTTTGCAAAGCTGGAAGAAGACATTGAAATATTGAAGCGCCAGGTAAAAATCAAATATTTTTTTCGTTTAAAATGAATTCGTGTTTTAATTAAAATGCTCACCAATTGAATATGGTGGAGGAAATATATTAACTTTTGAAATGTTTAAAAGTCTTATTAGATTCAATATAAGTCTATATTGTTTGCTCAATATAAACGTTATATAGTTTGTATATTTATGTTAAAGTGATGATGTACAATGTTCAAAAAGTAATGAATTATCCAAAATAAAATCATGTTGCGTTCTTAATTATTTTAAGACTTTTTGTAGCATGTTAATGTGGAAAATTCTGGCATGCTGAAACGCGTGTATGAGTTATTGTTCAATTTTTCTAAAAAACATTTGGTCTCTTTTCTGATATGTGATAGAGCGTTGTTTGTTTATATTGCAGCAAGTTCAAATGGACAAACATATACAGATGCAGCTATACGAACGTGCATTCCTGCGGGACACTGCCAACTCAATTATTCAAAGAGTATTTGAACTGGAGAAAAGGGTCAGGAAAGAAACGGGCGATCATGGCTGGGAGTCAGCTTTATCCGTAGAGCCGAAATGGTACCAGGAATATTCAACGCCGAGCGTTTGGCATTCTTCACTGCCAATAACAACTGATCAACTGAAACGGATGCAAGAACTCTACACCCGGAAAGTTTCTCCCGCACGAGCAATTTGCGATGAAAATGAAAGCGAGGCGACATCCGGTGAAACTTCAGATGGAATTGTTGTGATAAATATGCAAGAATCAAGCATTTCATAAAACAATTTTATAATTCTTTTACTTTTATAATTTCTGACCATTTCAACCTGTTAATTACTGAGAACTTCACCTCCATTGCTGCATGTTTATATTGCGTATCAAGCTTCCGTACATGTATTTAGCTTTTAATTAAACAATTTTGTTATACTATGATAGTTTCTGATTTTATTTAAGACACATAAACGCACCTGAGAAAAATAACTTTTTTAATGTATATATATTAAAGATGAAAATTGTGATGTACATTGTATGTGGAGAGAATGAAATGTGCCAGTTTTCTCATTATTTATATAAGCGACATTTAGTGACATTTAGTGAGTTTTTTGTCAATATTTTACAGAATATAAACAAACCCAATTATGTAGTATATATATATATTTTATTATGATAATGATATTCTATTAATTATTCTTTTATACATAACAATATTTACATAAACTCATAACAAGATAATATATTTTACCAAACTTTAACGACGATATTTATAGACTATATATAGATACAAAACAATGAAGCACTTTTCTTAAAATATAATCATTTCCGTTTGTATAGTTTAATAATTACAATGTTGTACGACGTTTTACACAGCCATCTCTTGGTCTGTACTGTCCTCCAAGACATTCATCAGCGTTTGGACAACTCTTAAACATCACAAACAGTTGCGTCCCCTGATACATCAATGAACGATCTAGTTTTCATGAAACTGTCCATACATTCGTCTTCATTACACAAAGCCTCGTTTTCATTATCACTTTCGTCATAATCGTAGCTAAAGTCCATGCTGAAATCTTCAGACTTGGTTTCATCCATTCTTGGAAATGAGCAATCAAACGAGTAGTCAAACCCATTACTTTCATCAAAAGTGTCTAGTCCGATATCACGTGATAGAAGTGAAAATTGGTTGAGGTTCGAAATAGCTGATTCACGTCTTAGGGTCCTTGTTTGAGATGAAGACGAATCCCTGGCATTTACTTCACGTGACAGAAGAGAGAATCTGTTCAGATTCGAGATGGCTGACTCACGTCTCAGTGTTCTAGATTGGGAGTCTGTTGTCTGACCGGCATTAAATGCTACATCTAGATCTTCACATGGCTCAGACATGTCACTTTCACACTCAGAATCTGAATCACAGTTCTTATCCCATAAGAAGCGGCACACGTCTTCTTGGCTTCTAAATGCTGGCATACTGTATCGTTCTATACGCCTTCTTTTCACATCCGGGGAATTATAATCTTTATTTCCAAAATGTTCCGCAGCTACTGGGAGCGTCTGATCTGCCATAAATTTCTGAAGAATCATAGATTTACCTTGAATTTCGTTCATTTGTTTAAGATTTTTGAATACCAATGCATTGTCAGCGTTAAATGTTGTATCAAAGTCGTCTGCTCTGCGTTTCTGTGTACGAACGGCGATAATTGGGGTGCTGTGTCTTGGTACATCTGCTATATTGGTAAGGATTGGGGCATGATATTTGTGTTCACCAATGCTTGAATCTGATGTCTTAGATAAGCGTTCACATTCACTGTCAATAGATTGATACCCTGTATCTGTTGAACTTATTGTTCCGGTAGATGTTGTCCTCTCTACAGTTTTCTTATGAGCGAAAGTTTGTTTAAATCCAAGTTTTGTTGATTTTAAACATTTCTGAATAACTTGTTCTCTATATGTAAATCCAAATTTTGAACTTCCGGTCGTCTGCCTTTCATCACAATTCACTGATTCTACGGAAAACTCCCCAGGTTGTTTTCTTTGCTTTCTTTCACCTAGTTTTTCAGCAGTCACTTCTCCACAAAACGTAAGAAATTTGGCCATTTCGTTCAAATCGGCTTTAGCCAAGAAAGCGTCCATGCTGTTCACTGAAGCTTGTGACGTCAATCTCTTCATAAGTCTATTCTGTTCACTTGAATCAGATTTGATGTCCGAGTTTTGTTCTAGAGCTTGAAGTTTTGTTTTCTGGTACCTTACATAAAATGCGAGGTCTGACACTTGTTTTAATGTATCTTTGGAGAGTTTCTTTCCTGGGGCACTTTTTACACTCGAATATTGGCAGGTTTTAACGTCCTTTGCAGATTTATTTACATCTGACACCATTTTCGACTTCCTGATAACAAACTCGACTTTTCTTGTAGCTCCATTTGTGCGCCAAACTTTCAACAACTTCGTTTTACCCGTAAGCTCCTTTTCAACTCCGTCAACACTTTGAAAGACCGCTAATGGCGTCTGTAGATTTGGTAGTTTCTTGATGACATCAGCGCACGTGGTGTTCTTAGTAACATGTTTGATAATTTTCTTGCCGTCCAAAACGAACGGGATTTCATGTCGCTTTATCTTTTTTAAAACAGCCATCTGAAAAAAAATAATAGAGAAACATTTATTATTAGTTATAAATTATTACTATGAATTAAGTTTTAGCGTAATTGATTTTAATGTGTTGATATATCACATATTATTATTATTTAACTTCAAAATAGTTATAAATGATCTTTAACATTTCATGAAGTACATATTATTTGTTTGCAAATTTGTTCATTAATTACTCAAATAAATGTCAATTTATTAGTTACATGCTCATCCAAAGTTTTAATACAAGAAGCCATCTTGCGTTTATTCCCAATCAAACCCAGTATACAAATTTTGGACTTTTATTAAGATGAAAGATTGATTAGTTGTATGTTATAGAATTTATCCAATGAGCTTCAAAAAGTGGAAGCAGCTGCGTTTTAAATAAGAGAACTTATATACTCGTAAATAAAACTAGCCACAATTTACCGCCAAATAGAGCAGGTGCTATGCTAAGTAGTAAAGCTATGTACACGTATATAAATTTCAACCAAAAAAAAATGCAACATTAACCTATTTTTTATTTGGATGAATTCAAATATATTGCTAAACTGGGCTAATTGCATTTTGCTTAAAGTGCTTATTTTTATTTGCATGCATTAATTAACACAATGACCTACGTTTTCAATGTATAATGAATTATGTATACATTTGTAAATATATATATACTTTCCTGACAATTTGTTTTAAATAGTTCATTTATAGTCCTTATGTAATATATTCATTAAATAGATTACGTACTTCATGTTAAAAGCTATTCCCGTTTATAGTTGTATACGAATGATATATCCTTCGTAATTGTATGCTAAATCACTTAGCCGCAGATAAATAAGTAAGTTATACTCGGAATTTTAACTAACAAATACAGAATTTTTGTCTTTATTTGAAGAATCAATCATGCGGCAAGGTGTTAAGACTAGACACTGTAACATACGTTACAATTATTTACTTTGAAGATTTTAACACCTTTGTATTTACTATGTACCTACCATCTGTCATATAAACTGATAAATCCAAAAAAAGATCCCTAATTTTACTCCCTACCGAAATATTTCTCACTTATATTTATTGTATTACACACTGTAACACCTGAGATCCCTCTCTACTTGTTAAAATCTTAAACTGCATGAACTGAAGCCATTTCTGAATGATTGAAACTCAATGAAAAAGGATTCAAATAAAAAAAAGGATAAAATTGAATGACTTGCCCTCTATATGATGTTACGTATTTTAATTATCTTGTCAAATATTTGAAGATTTTGATGAAGATACGGTAGGTGGGAGTAATTAAGTGTAAATAAAGAAATTAATATCAGATGCCAGCGTATATAAAGAAATAAAAAAAATCAAGATATTGTGTTACTTTCTAATTCTGTATTGTTTGCAGAAGACCTTGGGGGTAAGAATTGTCAAATACGGTGTAGATGTTATTATCACCCAGCCTCCCTTTTAATTTACGGGAGATTGTAGGTCAGATATTGTCATTGGTAAAAAGCGCACGCGGCCATGTCAAATAATGATGTTTGAATTAATGTAATCAAAATATATTTGTTGATGTACAACAATGATGTTTTATTCTAAATAGAAAAGTATGATAGGCGTATTTATATTTTTAAGAAATTTGACATCATCGTCATTTAGCTTATTAATTAAATTATAATATTCTCCCAGGCTCATAAGGAAAAAATACAGAGACAAGTAAATGGCGAGACATGTAATAAATAATATTAGTGCAACTTTCATTTCCGAAATATCATACAACAGTTAAAGCACCGGTAAAAGTGGAAATGCGACATTGCAGATGAAACTAACGTTGTCAACATCATAAACACCACCAACACCATCGCCAACAACATCATCAACTTCAAAAACAACATCATCATCTACAACAATAACAACAGCCTCATCAATGCCTACTTTTAAATAAATATGCATTTCCAATTATATCTATATACAAAAAATACATAATTTCTTACCCTTTTTTATCCTCTATTTCCTTTTATCAAGAAAATTCTAATGGTGGAAATTATAGAATCAACACAAAATATAAATAAAACGATTTTGTTTTAATATCTATGATTGATTTTGTATGGAATAAAAATATAAGTATGATTAATTCCAGCTCTCGTGGAGGATATATAGCTAGCCTCGTTCTGGCTGATTAATTCTTCATCTCAAAAGGCTCAAACTAAGGCGCTTTCAAACATCATTAAAGGATAACAATAGAAGATGATTATGTTCTCGCCTTGTCGTACAATGATAATTGTTCGTTGCGACAGGAAGCGAGTCCCTTAAGCACAATGTTTGACTTAAGTTAATTAACTAGTTTATTGTTAATTAATCAAAAGGTGAGAAAATTCTTAGATTTCTGAAATAGATAACACCTTTTCCGATCTTCAGGCCGATTATGACACGAAAGATAATGTATTTCTATTGTTTTATACATGTATAATGTATTTACAAATAAGTGAACATTTTTAATTGAAATTAAGGGAATATTCTATGTACTATCGAATAATGAATAAACAGAAGGTTTATTTAGTCGTATGCATGGTACAGCATATAGACATATACAAAAAATATAAATACATACCATACATGCCAATAATATTCATATATAAATACACATTTTATCATATTTACGAGAGTGTTGTATTTTAATCACGGTTTAGTAACTCTTGCCGTTTCTTAAATGCCTTTAAGAAATATAATGCGATGTTATGAAGTAAACGTTTGTTCTCTGTCTTCATATAAGCTCAACAAATTTCATCATACATGTACTAAGTCTCTGCCTATAATATCTTGACATA